CCCAGTTAGGAGCAGTTAACACCTTACGTACTCCCGCCCTCCTGGAAGGGTATTCTGTATTTACACACTTGTGTGCTAAGTTTCGGAAAGGTCTCATCAGAACTTTTCCCACCTGCACAACCTATCATTCACCAGCGGGACCTCCACCTCTTTATATTAGCACTAATGAAACAGTCCTGTGGGCCGCTGGGTTTGCTTTATGTTCCTCTTTTCTATCCCAGATTTCTACCAAAGGTTGTATACCAGTTTCATCTGAACTAACCCATCCACTTACCTGCTTTCTTTCCAAAGCCTCATGCCTCAGAAGAGGAAGAATGACATCACTCCATCCATGTCCCCTAGGCTTGACCTTCTATCTGCAGAGGACAAGACCGATCAGGAAGTCTCCTAAGTTGTTTCACAGTATTGGAGAGAATTAATAGTCATGCAGTTTCTCCCAGAGAATCTCCAGTATATTTTGGGTGTATTACACTATGGTATCAGTTGTCAGGACTGATTTCCACCTGTTGGGGTGAGGGCCCATTCCACAAGAGCCCATGGCCACCCTCCATGATGTGCTGCTTTGAGACATTGTAAAGTGGCCACATGGAGTTCCGTCCCCATTTTCACTACATATTACACCTTGGTGCAGAACTCTGTGTTGGATGTCTCATTCAGCATGGCTGTCCTCCACTCAACTCTTTCCTCCTCCAACTTAGGTACTATGTGTTACTCACTCATGGTGAAATACAATAGAGACAATCGCTCAAAGAAGATGAGGAGGTTTCTTACCTGGAATTGGAAGTTCTTTAGTACTTATCTGTAGTGCACTTCTCAACTTCCTTCCCTTTAGCTGCGGATCTCTTGGTTTTGCAATGGAGAAGAAACTGGAGACACGATCAGTGCTCTCTGGCCTTTATCATCTCAGATAAAGCCATGAGGCGTGGCAAAGGTGCATGAGTGGAGCAACTACAATACTATTTTAAAATTGTGCCCACTGAGGGCACATGATGCTCATGCATAAACCCTAGATGGAATACAGGTAAGGGCTACATATCTCAAAGAACCTCCATTTGCAAATTAGTAACTTCCTCTTTCACCCATTTAGTTGTTGCATCTTTTAGTGCTTTAGATGAGATACGCCACACGTTTTGATGGGCATATATAGGGCACATAGATCTTGTGAGTTGTGTTGTGGGAAGTATTGTTCATTGTAGCAATGCAGCTATATATGGAGGTTTTGCATCTGTTATTTTGGCAGGTCTGGTGCCACTTTAAATGTGTTTGAGTTTGTCTGTTGGAAGGTTGCTTCTGACGATAAGTTTGGTGACATTGCAGTTTGTTTGAAGACCAGAAGAGGGAGTTCAAGAAAAATTTATTTCAGGATAGGTCCCCAGTTGTTTAATGAAAACCCTGTATTGATGTGTGGGAAGACAGTGACAGTTAGGTGTGTATAGTCAGAATGTGTCCCCTGAACAGAAATTGAAGCATATTTTCTGGGTATTTGGGTGGCCCTTTCCATGATTCAGTCGTTTTCTCTGGCAGAGCGCCCTTGTGCAGTGAAGATAGTTTTCAGTTTATTAAAGTGTTTATCTAGACTTTTTTCCTTGAAGCATATTCTGTGGTATCTGGATGCCTTGCTGTAGATAAAAGATTTCTTGGAAGGTTTGGGATGTTTACTGGATCTGTAACAGTAAGTATGGTGCTCTGTGATCATCTTATAAATGGCTGTCTGTATTGTTCCCTTGTAGTGATGACCTGGAAGTTGATGCTGATATCAGAATATTTGTTTTGGGTGTTGAAGTGGTGAGAAGTTGAGAAAGTTTAGGTCATCTGTTCTGAGGATGAAAATATCATCAATGTATCCCAGATATATCACTGGTTTTGTGATGTATTTGTCAGAAATTCTTTTCAAGATGTCCCATAAAAAGATTGACATATTAGGGAGCCAGTCTAATAGCCATGACTGTTACCATGGTTTGGACAAAATGTTTGTTGTTTTAATGTAAAATTGTTATGGGTGAAGATGAGTTTGGTAACATTTCGGGTTGTATATCTGAGTGTTGTCCATTGTCCTGTAGATATCTGTGGGAGGAGTGATGCTTGCCACTCCTTTAATTGCTTAACCAATTAAACATTATGTTTAACTGGTTAACCAATTATATGGGATTTGACATCCCTAGTTGGTGACAGGCCTGGCCCAGGTGCACTGTAGGCAGGGGGCGCTCCAATCCAGCCAGAGCAGCCTTTGCCATTGGTGGGGGAGGACAGTGTAGCCTGACTTGAATGCTCCAGCCATCCTCCTTTTAATCAGCTAACCAGTTAACCAATTAAATGGGATTTTACATCCCTAGTAGGATATTACTGTTAAGGTGGCAAAGTATGATGTTCTAAGGGATGTTGAAATAATGGAATTTCTGGAGAAAGTCGGTTATGCCCTGGAGGAAACTGGCTCTTTGTTTGGTAAATGAATTGAGGAAGGTTTCTATGACTCTTAATATTCCTTCAGTAAGAAAGCCATGGCCAGATATGATGGTTCTGCCTGAGTTCTCTTGTTTTTGTATCTTGGGAAGTATGTGGAAGATCACTGGGGTGAGCTCATGGGGATGAATTTGTAGAGTTTCTATTGAGTTATTTGGAGAAGTATTTGATGATACCCTTAAATTCCTGAGTGAATTGTGGCATGGGGTCATCTTTAACATCAGTATAGTAGGTGACATCAGAGAGTTGTCATTTGGCCTCATTGATGTAATCAAAACTTAAGGACCACAAGGGTGCCCCTTTGTCTACTGGTTTGATCACTAAACAAACAGTGCCAGTGACCTTTTTCCAAAGGGGAATTCCACCACTATTCTGCACTTGCTCAGCCTAGGGTTGAACTGATCCTTACTGCTGTCCAAGCTGAGGTTGTATGACTTCCTGAGCTATGGGAGCAAGGGATGGGCTAGATCTCCCAAGATCACAATTGGTAGTTTAACATCACCAACGGTTATTTTGCAGTCTGAAAAGAAAGTCACTCCTTGTCAATAGTCATTGTTGCTCAAAAGGCTTCTGCCAGGTATCTATGGAACGTTTTGGACATAGTGGTGGGGTCACCACTGTGAATCACATGCAGCTCCTCATAAAAGCAGCATGTCTGTGGGGCAGAACCAGAACAATTGTTAACCTCCCTTTTCTTATTAATGCGCTTACTAAAGGTCCTTTATTTTCACACAGTAGTGCTGTTTGTCCCTTGTGTAGTTCTTCTCCCTTACGCCCATCTCTTGGCGTAGATGTCAGTATTTCTTCTGCTGGATCATGCTCTGCCTGCACAGACTCTTCTACCCACACAGCAGTAAGATCCATCACCTCTTGTGTACGCCAAGATGGAGCCTGTTTGCAGCCTTGAGCCTCCATGATCAACTGTGTTGGCAAGCTCATGCTGATCCAAATAGGAAATGAAAATTCAAAAGTTCCTGGGGCTTTAACAGGAAAGAAGATGTTTCCTGTGTACCTATCTGAGATGCTGTGGAGTTGAAAGCATTTTCCAAAGGGGTCACAGGAGAGCACTGTGGGACACCTCCTGGAAGCCAATTCATTTGAATTGCACATTGCAGTGTCTACACTATCTCCATGTCGACCTGGGGATGTCAAGTCAATCACTGCACCTCTCATGTAGGTGGAGTACAGAAAGCAACTTCGATTGATAGAATGAACTTTGTGTAGTGTAGACACCTACATTAGTAAATCAAATTAACATAGCTTATGTTATGACAAGGCCTTACACTCAACTTGATATTTGTGGCGTTATCATAGCTGCATTGGTCCCAAAATATACCTTGTCACTCTTTTTCATGGTATTTCTCTGTCTGAATGTGGTACAGTAACTTTTAATGCTACATCCAGTCATTTCAGAGATTTTTTTAGGTATCAGTGGACAAAATCCTATTGATTTTGGTGAAAATAGAAAAAACGGGTAGAAGGAAATGAGGCATGTAAAGCCCTTTGAATCTTGTTAGCAGATTCAGCAGCTTTTCCATCTCTGTAATTGTCCATGGACAAAGAATCAGTTGATGGCAGCTTATTAACACCTTCCAGCATAACAATACCCCCCCTGCCATCTCAGCTCTGTCCATCCTCCCAATACAGTTTAACATGTTGGACACCCTGAATGACTTCTCTCTCAACCAGAAAGAAAATTTAATATAATGGTATAAAATGGGGGTCATAGAGATCAATGACCAGATCCCATTGTCTGTGGGGTAGATGGAGGATCCCAGAATAAGAGTGGTTGCCGGGATTTCCAGAAGTGGGAGAGATGGGTGGGTGGAACACAAGGAGCTTGTATGGGGGAAATGGAGGGATTCAAGGAGCCCCTGGGGTGTGCAATGAAATTGGCCTACAGAAACTAGGAAGTGTGCATGCCCTCCTAACAACCCTTCTCTTACCCAGCTAAGAATAATTTAAGAGCAGCAATAAACTGTCTTAGGCTTTGTCTACACTACATAGCTTTTAGAGAGACAGCCTTGTCAACACAGTTGTGTTGCTAAAAGTTGAGCATTGTAGCCAATGTTTTTCTGCTCTTTTTCTGACAAAATACTTCCACCCACAATGAGTGGCATGCATGTTGTTTGGCGGAGAACACTCCTGCCCACAAGGCTCTGTTCACACTGGCACTTGTTGTGATAAAACTTTTATCTTTTGGAGATGAGAGGGATTAGCACAGAACCACAAAAATTTTGTTGGTCAATTGCCAATATATTCTCAGTTATTTGTCTTTCCATAAATGTTGCTTTTTGGAATGCTCTTCCTACAAAAATATACGTCAACTATTGGTAAAAGTTCATTTTTGAAAAAAAAAATTAGTGTGCAAGTTCTAATTCCTGTATTTAAATTAATTTGTTGCTGAAAGCAACTTAGATTTTTTTTATTCTGTTTGCAGTCCCATAGTTTCATTTGTTACTGTGAAAGCTGGATTTTTTTTCCTTTACAGAGTCAAATGCTTCCAGTGTAAAATGATTAAAACTATTCTTTTTTCCTAGGTTGAGGCATGTCAAGGGGATTTAAGCACGCTGGCAAATGTAGTAACCTCATTAGCAAGTCTCAGTAAGTCCAAAGACATGTCTCAAAGTAGTGCTGAGCTGTCTATGATTGAAAGTTTAAGCAACGGAGATACATCATTGTCTGAACTCCATCAAGAAGAACAAGCAAGTAGTGATGTTACCAGGTAAGGCACACTACAGTATTTCATTTTTACATATAATTCTTTTTGGTAATCTTACTCAAAGCTTACAAAAGCAAACAATGCAGACAGTTCTTGAGTAAAAATCATTATGGTAAAATATTGAACTTGTGATGAAGAATAACCATACAGAAGTTGCTAATTGAGTTCTGAGTAACATTTTGCACTGAAGTTCCATTCAGAATTAAATATGAGAAATTATATTTGTGTTTGGAAAGAATTTAAATGTAGCTTTGATGGCTAATTTATATTTTCATTATTGTTTTCAGCTCTGGGCATTGGCCTATATACTATATATTCTTTTAGTAGTTTATACCACATAGGAAAAATTATTAATCTTAATCCCCATCTATCTAAGTATTTTAGCATTGAAAAATCCTGGAATGATCATAAAATATTTTCTGTCCATACAGAAGTGTTTCATAAGGATTTTCAGTATTACAGTGGCATTTGAGTTCATCTTACAAATCCTTTGCCCTCACTGGTTTTAATTTGAACCATTTCAGTGCTATTGTAAGTAGATTAAGGAGGCAGTACAGTAGTGCTGTTCCAGGTAATCCTTCCAGCACAATCTTGCCCACCCTTTCCAATCAGCTCAAGTGTTGGCCCAACAGCAGCCAACGTGTAGCATTAATTCACTACACACCATCCATCCTTCACGATCAGGGTCAAAATATTACTGTATTATACCAATGTAAATTTGAAGTAAATCAATTCAGATAATGATTGGTGTAAACTAGTCTAGCTCTAATTAATGCAGCTAAGGATCTGTCCCTAGCCTTCCATTTGCTTTACTCTGCATTTATTCTGTATCAGAAGAGTAGCCGTGTTAATCTTAATCTGCAAAAACAATGAGGAGTCAAGTGGCACCATAAAGACTAAGGGTATGTCAACACTTGCTCCCTAGTTTGAGCTAAGGATGCAAATGTAGCTGACCGAAATTGCTAATGGAGCGGGGATTTAAATATCCCGCGCTTCATTAGCATAATCTCGCCCACACGTTATTCCGCTCAACAGCTGATTCGAACCAGGAAGTGCGTTCCCGGGACACATTAGTTCAAATTAAACCCCTTAGTTCAAACTAACGTTACTCCTCAAAAAATGCAAATACAAATCCCCGCTTCATTAGCAATTTCAGTCGGCTATATTTGCATCCCTAGCTCGAACTAGGGAGCAAGTGTAGACGTACCCTAACAGGTTTATTTGGGCATAAGTTTTCATGGGCAAAGGCGCTTTTTGTCAGATGCATCTGACGAAGTAGATCTTTGCCCATGAAGGCTTATGCCCAAATAAATCTGATAGTCTTTAAGGTGCCACAGGACTCCTTACTGTTTTTCTAGATACAGACTAACACGACTACTCCTCTGATACTTGTCACAGTGCAAGGCACTGAACTTAGCTGAACAAAAAGGAAATCCATCAACTTAATGAAAAAAACACATGCATCTGACAAAGTGGGCCTTTGTCCATGAAATCTTATGCCAGAATCTTATGCCAGATCTGTTAGTTTTTAAGTTGCCACAGGACTACTCATTGTTTTTGTATTTACTCTGTTATTGCAAGCAGAATGTTTGCCCTGTTGTTTTCTTTATGTACATCACACTCTTCCAGTGTCTTACCCAATTCCCATTTGAAGTCAATGTGTCTTTCCATTGACATCAGTAGGAACCTCACTGCGCCCTCAACCTGTATACCATAAAAGACAGGACTTAGAAGAATATAATAGTTTGTAATGGTGTACTTCAAGACTAGTGTACAAAATGTACATGGGAACAGAAGAAAGAAAG